CAGCTACAGGCAGGAAGTGGAACACCTGGAGAGCTGGTGCAAAGAGAATAACCTTCACATTAATGTGAAGAAGACGAAGGAGATGGTTGTGGACTTCAGAAGGAACAAACACACCTACCCCGCCCCCCTGAACATAAGAGGATCTGTGGTGGAAGTGGTCTCCAGCTACAAGTACTTGGGTGTGCAAAAGAATGACAACCTCAGCTGGAGCAACAACACCACCAGCCTGATCAAGAAAGCTCATCACAGACATCTACACCTCCAGATGCAGGAAGAGGGTCACCTGCATCATGAAGGTGTAGTGGACTAGGCCCATGTCAAAAACTAAGTCTAAGGTCAAAAATCTTGACCTTAAGAACCTTGTGGGACAGGAACTGTCATTTCATTGATTTGAATCCAGAAATGCCGGTTCACCCATCCTGAGACTTTCTCTCTTGAAGATTCATGTGAAAGAACACTCTCTTTTTTATTATCATTACTATTTTACAAATGTTGATAATCAAAATGTCTTAGTTCAAACCATTTTAGATGTTGCAGTGAACTAATCAATTTTATTAACTGTGTAATGATTTTTATTCTCATGCAAAGTTAGAACTCATGTCAAAGCTGTTACAGAGTAATTATGCATTTTCTGATTTCTGCCTTTGAATGAGCAAGTGTACGTTTCCAAGGTTGGAGTCAAACGCAAAACAAGTTGTTAGAACGAACTGTCATGTTTTTAGAATCCTCTCAGACGTAAATATAGAGGTTTGGCACCTGTTTCTGAAACGCGCCAAAACAAAACTCTCTCTGTCTGTGAGAACATTTCTGATCTTTCCATAACAATTCTTGCTGCCTTCTAACCTCTTACGTCACAAAACACACCCCGTCTGGTTGTTTCTGACCAATGGGAATACTCCCAAAAGTGAACCAGGAAAGAGCTCTTTAAAATGTCGGTACTTCCTGGTCTACTCAGTTTCTACTAAGTTCTGTTAGAAGTTCTGGGATGGTGCTGGAACGGTTCTGGACAGTTCTGTTCAGTTCTGATGGAGTGCTGTTGGAGTTCTGCTGGATACACAGTTCAACCAGTTCTGTGAGAGAAGCCCAGTTCTGTGAGAGACGGGATGATCCTGACATGACAACAGAGCTCTTCCGAGTTCCATGGGATTATAACATTTTCACTCGCCACTACTTCTGACGATTCACAGCATCCTAAGGAGACGCTGGACAGGTAGCGTTAACGGAGCTCCATATCTGCTGATTAACTTCAGAAAGGTAACGAGTCAAGTTTCCTACCAAGCGTACCGGGGAGAGCTGGGTTCTGACGGAGAGTGTCAATTCTGGTGAACACTTCCCCTCCCATACCATCTTTACTCCCTCTAAACTTCTTTCCCATCTTTAAACTTTCTATCAAGTAGATATTCTTCCAGATATTTAGAAATGTCTGTGTAAAATGCTCATCCACATCCGTGTGGGTAAAAGATCATAATTGTACAGTTTCATAAATGTCTGTGGTGAAGCAACGGAAAAATCATGGCCGTATGATTTTTCCTGATTGATTGCTTAAGTTGTTATTTTCATAATTTGCCAAATTAATGTAAATGTTTGATGTTAAAATTTTGATTCTGTAAATAAATGACCGCATTCATTTTGATGGGTCAAATATAAATGACGTCTCACGTTTGCATTTCCTTAAATTCAATGCACGTTTTATTCAGTCCAGAAAAATGAGGAATCCGTGTTAAATGATGAATATATCCGAGCATCTGTTCATCTACAAAGGACCCCACTCATCCAGAGCACACACTTTTTGCCCCGCTCCCCTCAGGAAGGAGGTTAAGGAGAATTAAGTGTAGAACCACTAGACTGAGGAACAACTTTTACCCTGAGGCTGTTAGACTCATGAATCTCTAACCAGAATAACCACTGTGAAAAACCATATCATGTTGCTGCTGATCTGTTTCATGTTGCTGCTGATCTGTTTCATGTTGCTGTGGTCATGCGTGCTCATCTGTTCACACAGACTGATGTTCATGCTTCTGTTCAGCGTATTGTTTTTAATGCTACTAGTGCTTAGTGTGTTTTTAGTTAATGTTTTTCTTAGTTCATATTTTAAATCTTATTACTGTTTTTCTTTTACATTTTAATACTTTTGTTGGATGTAACTGGGACACTGTGTACATAATTTCATTCCACCACATGTTCCACATGTGGCGTGAATGACAAATAAAGAACCTTGAATCCTTGAAAAAACTTTTCAGTCTGAGACGCTCATCAAACTCAGTTTGTTGGTGACAGCCAAAACGTTGTTGCAGCTCCTCAGACTGAAGAAGTTTTTTGTATAAAAGACAAAATGTTTCAACAAAATGAACTCGTCCAGAGGACCTGACTTAACCTTGTTAGATTTATCTACCTGGATTATTGAGCATGAATCAGGACAGACTGATAAATGTTTTTTGTAAGGGAAAGTCTTCTAAAAGCTTAACTGCATTCATAAAGATGTTTAGCTAATATGTTAATTCCTCTCTGTGATCAGGACAGCTGTGCACAGCAGATGTTGTTAATGTCTTAGTGAAGCAGGTCAAGTGAATTTAATCTCTACAATCATAAAAGGATGCCTGAAGGTTTTGTTTCTTTCCTTTGATTCCTTTATCCACAAAGACAATGATTAGGTTATGTGAGGGAACATCTGCTGTATTTCATGAGGACAAATCTAAACTGTGAGCTGAAATGGTTGAGGAGGTATTTTATGAAAAGGCAATCACTGTCATCCCATTTAAGGCTTTTATGCTTCAAGACAGGTTAACAATAGCTATACAAAGGCAACAACAGTCCTCAAAAACATAAACACTAAGCCATTCATCCATTTTTTTCTGCTTATCTGTGATAGGGTTGCTAGGCAACAGATCCAGGAGGGAATCCCAGAACAACTTCAGCTCCTCCTGGAGGATCTGAAGTTGTTCCCTGGCCAGAGAGGATATTTAATTCCTCTTGAGTTTTAGGTCTTCCTCAGGGTCTCCTCCATGGAAAAACTCCAAGAAGAGACACCCTCAAGACATCCTCAGCTGACTCTTTTTATTGATACAGAGGAAAAGGACTCTACTTAAAGCTCCTCCAAGGTGACTGAGCTCCTCATCTGTTCTCCAAGATTGGGCCTGACCTTTTTATGGAAGAAGCAGTTTTTGTATCTGGGATCTCATTGCTCTGGTCTAGATCTTCAGCTCATGACCACAGATGAGGTTTAAAAAGAAGACCAACCAGTAAATTGTAAGGTTTGCCTTTCAGCTCAGTTCCTTCATCACAACAGACTGGAGCACTGCCCTCATTCCTGCAGATGAGGCCCTGGTCTGTCACGCCATTTCCTACTCCATCATGAAAAAGACTCATAAACCTTCCTGTCTGGGACAAAGTCTCACCCCCGACAAGGAGTGAGGCGAGCACTCCACCTTTTTTCAACGACTCAAAGACTTAAAGTGGCTGCTGTATGCTCAGCTCCAAAGAGACCTTCGGTGTGTGCTGTCGGTCTGAAGACCCAAACAGAACCACATCAGCTGCAAAACGCTGAGACAGGACCCTGAAGTTCTCAAACCAGACATCCAGCTCAAACACAAAGAGGATCAAATCATTCCCTGACAGTTCCTCGAGTGTGAGGGTCACAGAAACCTCATGTTTTCAATGCTCAGTCATTACTTTAATGTATTGGATCTACCAGTATTGTTTGGCTAAATTATAAACCTTTAGTGGTTATTTAAATATAACAGGCTTGTTTGAAAAAAAATGCAGTTTTTTTATATATATATATATATATAGACATAAAAACAACAATTTTAATGTAATGCACCATTTTTACCATTAGATCATCTAAATCCTATGCTGTAATAAGCTCTCCTGAATGATATTAAAAACTGATTTTCCGCTGTGAGGAAACAGGTTTAAAACTAACAACGCACTTTGATTATATTAATTTTACAGCACTTCACTGAGAAACATTTTGATTTAACTCACCTCATCATCAGTGCAGACTGAGAGGGAGCTTTTTGAATCCAGCTTGACTGGTTTTGAGAGTCAGGGCCGACTCAAGGCATAAGCAAACTTAGCAGCTGCTTAGGGCCCCAAGGCCACTAGGGGGCCCCCTAAGTGAAATTGAATTATTTTTTAAATGCATTTATTTTGGTAATGATTTCTATATGATTCTATTCCACACAATTTCATTATAAAAGTTGTGAATTAAAAAATATATATATTTTAGTACTCTTTAGTACTTTTAGTACCACTTGATCACACATGTCAAACTCAAGGCCAGTGGGCCAAATCCAGCCCACCATAACCACAACCAGAAGACAATGGCTTGTAATTAAGCATTAAGGTTTCTCTCCATTTCTGGCCTCTGGGAAAAAAAAAAACAGTTTAATAATTTGACCTTTTGTATTTGTAATTATTTATATCCTTAACATTGTTATTTTCTCTTTCCTCCAATAGAAAGCACACCTGGACCTGCCATTCTGTGTCTGTTTGTTCCTCCTTCCTGTTCCTATCAATCCCATCGGGTTGAAGCAGATGGTTGCTCGTCCTGAGCCTGGTTCTGCTGGAGGTTTCTTCCTTTTAAAAGGGAGTTTTTCCTTTCCACTGTTGCCTTTGTGCTTGCTCAGGATGGAAGACTGTGACAAGATGAAGACACAGCACAATCTGCTGGCTTCCTTAGATAGAAAACTTTTATTAATTGGATTTTTTAATGTATGTGAATGTTTCAGTTCAGTGCCCTGAGATGACTTCTGTTGTGACTTGACGCTACATAAATAAACTGAATTGAATTAAATTAAATCAACTAAATATTAAATTAAATTAAAAAATGCACTGAATAGCAATTTTTTTTGTTCGCTTTTTACCTAAATTTAGTTTTTATTTCTGCTTTTTTGTACACTTTTTTATTAGTTTTACAAAAGATTAATTTGTTACTGTGTGGATGAGGCATTATTACATTATGAAGACATTAATTTCAGCCAAAGAACTTGTTGGTTTACCATAGTTTGGACAGCAGACCTTGAGCCAGCAGACACAGGAAAGCACCGTGAGGTTGGTCAAACTGCACAGTCCGAACAAAACACCACAGAAGGCATAGATAGTGCAGGCTGTCATGTTGAATAACCACCTGAATGGAAAACAAAAGAAAAAAGAAATCAATTACTGACTAACAACATGTTCTTGAATGAGTTTTTTTTCCTTCAGGGAAATCTCACAGTTCACATCCAGGAGGATAGACCGGCAATACATTTTCCGGCCCTTCCTCTTGGGTCACGTCTGACTGTGAGGAGCAGTGATGCACTTTGACCCAACACTGGCACATATGACAGCTTGCATCATATATCCTCAGGGGATCCAGGAGGATAACAGAGAAGGTCACCAGCTGAAGCAGGACACACAGCAAGTGACGAAGGTGACGTGTCTCCTGACATTTTGAGTGTTTTTACATCTTGCTGTAGCAAAGCGGGACTTTTCTGTCATGGTGTTTGGGCTCTTGTTGGCAAACTTGTCCTGCAGATATGTTAGAAAAGCTACTGAAGCTTTTAAGTAGCGGATTTGATCATTTTCACTCAAAAGCATGTGCTTAAAACATCGCAGAGAACAGCAATTTCAAAGATGCAGTGCTCGTTTGATTGTGTGATCATGAAGTGGCGGCTGGGTATTTTTATTCTGAAGAGTGCCAATTGCAAACATCTGCTTTGATGCCACTGCAAAAGGTTGTCTATACAGTTATTTTTATTTGTGTTATCATGTGGTGGAGTCACATAAGACATCCAAACAGGCTTTCCCCCCAGTTTTTCTGGTGCTTAGGTGTTTAACGTGTAGATTATTATAAAAAGTGTTGAAGTATGGCATTTTTTTGTAATGACCCAGCAATGTCTTCAAGTGCAAAAAATAAAACTTGAAGTCTCACATCTTGAGAAAGAAAGGGCTATTTATGAGACTGAGTTAAGTACAGCTCCTCAGACTGACAAAGTATTTTGGGTAAAAGACGAAACATTTCAACAATTTCTTTTTTTATCCATCATGAGGACCTGACTTAACTGTGTTGTATTTTTCTACCTAGATTTTTAAAGATGCATGAGATATTAAAATCTCACCATTAATGAGATTACAAAGGCTAAATTCAGAAAAAAGGGCCATTTTTGCATCTTTGAATAAAACGAATATTCGAAGCTGAAGTCACTTTTCATTCAACCTTTATTTATACAGGTTAATCCCATTGAGCCTCGGGGACTCATTTACAAGAGAGACCTGAATAAGACACTTCATAAGTAAAGTTATGCAATAACTTAAACAAACAGTAAAACCCTGTAGAAGAAGTAGGACTGAAAATCACAGAGCTCGTCCGGCAGATGAGTGCATTATTTAACCAAACTAAAATCTTTAATATGAGAGCGTAAGGTTGGATTGTATTGTGCTATGATGATGATGCTACGTGACCTTTCACATCAAACCAGGGATTAGGTCAATATGATACCTACATTATATCATGAGCAGTTCTAGTCATATGACTTGATTTGTCTTACGTAAAGAGACACATTTTTAACAGAATTTTGGAAAAACAAACTCTGAAACTATTGTTAAAATTCACAAATTATGTGTTGGTCAAGATAAATCAAACTCTTTGATTCTTTCTGCAAAACCACTGATCTAAACAGGCATGCTCTAGTTCCTAAAGTTCAAAAATATTCTTCCAACTAGTCTAACCTCTGCTTTTACTCAGGTAAAAAGTAATTGTCTCATTTTGTTTTCTAACATAAATCCAGTAGTCCCTCACTTATTGCGAGGGTGACATTCCAGACACCCCTGCGATAGGTGAAACTCAGTGAAGTAAGGATGCTATATTTATTTTACTATATATATATATATATATATATGGGCATCGGGAGCACCAGGACATTTCCTGGTGGCCTGGCCCGCTTAGTAATCGAGGCTGTCTGTCACAGCAGAGCAGAGACACACTGTTCTGCTCTGCTGTGACAGACAGCCTCGGAAAAAGAAAGGAGGGGGTGGGGGTGCCTGTCTTATACCTGAGTGAGCCACTCGTGCACATGGACTGTTTATTTAAAAGAATCAAGCGCAACCCGAACCAAGCCTTTACCCTTGGCAATCACTAAGCGGGCCAGGCCACTGGGAAATGTCTTGGTGCTCCCGATGGCCAGTCCACCCCTCAGCACAATGCTCTGGTTGGTTGCCTTCCATCAATCAGCCAATCGTGTGTAGTGTACAATTTTATGTTGAAAATTTGCTAAAGAGTGAGCCCGCGTAAGTTGAACTGCTTTGTATCAAGGGACTACTGTAACCTAAGTTAAAAAAAAAAATTAAGACAAAAGATAAACTGAATAAAATATAAATGGCCAAAGGTGACTCACTTGTGTGCCAAGGCTGAAGGAACTGCCAGAGGAAACAGCGTTACAGTCATACTCAGGTCACTGATGGCCAGATTCACAACGAAGAGTTCTGCTGGTTTCAGGGAGGACTTTTTTCTATAAGCCACAAACAGCAGGATCCCGTTACCCAGCACAGACAGCAAACCTAAAACACAGAAAAGAGCTGGTGGATTTAACTTCACACATGAATATTTAAGAAGTGAGGACAAATTCACTTACCAAAAATGGTGTAAAGAGTTCCCATGAGGAAGTCGTAGTTTTTTGATATTCTGGACACGAACAAAAATATTTCAGAGGCATTTCCCATCTGGAGAAATAGAATGTAAATGGAAAGAAAAACTTTTAACTAAAAAACAAACCAGTGGGGTTTTGTACATGTTCAGAATCAGATAAAAACAGGACTAAACACAAGTTCAGTTCAGATTCGAATTCATGGTTTTAAATGGGAGGCCAAACCAGACTCATGGGTTTTATTTCTTTCTTTCAGTCTACATCCAAACTAACTTTAAAAATAATTTAATCAAGTAATTAAACCACAGAAGATAATTCTGCTTCAACATAAAATTATTCTGTTTCCAATTTGGCCATTTTTGTTGTCTTGAAGGCCATTGTGTTCCAATAAAAGGAAGATGAAGACGCTGAAATAAAAATCAGAGCGATTTACATTCACAGCATGGCCTGCTTCGTGACCTGCTTCGTGAACTGCTGCCAACATGGAGTTTGCTGTGACAAAAGCAAGTTGCTGAGACAATCTTTGTGACAGAATCTATAGAGGAAGATAACATGGACATTCAAAGGATTTCTATTTACTCAGTGACATTACCTGTATTTACATATAAAAGGAAAAAAGACAAGTTAAATCACCCGGGGTTAGGAGAGGAGCAGCTTCTAGATAAAGCCAAACCTGCACACACTCAGCTTCAGGAGGACCAGAGGTGGACGGTTCTTTCATGTTATTTTCTGTGGAGCTCTGTTAGAACTTTCTGCACCTTGTAAACTGATACATAAAGATTTATGTAAGAAATGTCATGGATAAATGTGTGCAACTCTTGTTTCTGGGGTTTTAATGTAGCATATACACTAAATAAATGATACATGTCAAATTATTCAACCAAATAATGCTTATTTTATGCTTTTTATTACAATCAAGAAATTTATTTTAATTTAAACCATGCATTTAGTTATATATCATTTACCCCCAATTTGAGGACCTTTGTTGTGATTGTTGCACACAATTTTCTGTGAACTCCAGCTGAATGTGAAAATTGTTGGGGTATCACCCTTTGAAAATTTCTACAAAAGCATTTTAAGATGATATCAGACATCTGCCTCTCATCATTTTTCATAAATTCTCTCTGATGTTCTGCAGGCTTGAGGTCTGACTGTGGAGAAAATAGATGGTACTTCATGGAGCCCTGAAAGAAGTTTGAGATGTCACAGCAGATGATAAATCTAAAGATAAAGCCCTGAAGAAAACAGAGAATGCAGTGTTTGAACACAGGTTCATCTGTTAGTCCAGTTGCATGCACACAGCGAGCAAGATAGTCAAAACAATTCATTAATATTAGGGGTGATTCCAACAGGAAGTGCTCTTCCCTGCAGCGGGAACAACCTCTGACTCATGGTGTCAGTTTACAGCCAATAAATAAATGTCAAAGCAAACGTGAATAGAACATTAACAAGAACAACCCATTTCCAAAACAAGAAACATCATAAACAGTTATAAACATTGCACACATAATTGCCACATGGTTACCCAGCATTCTTTGCAGCTCAGAGTCTCTCTGGGACTTTCTCACAGAGAGACTCTGTGAGTTTGGAGGAAAATAAAATAAAGTTAAAAGGAGACATTTTTCCTACGGCGTTTCTCTCTCTCCCTCTTGGACCAGAGGTTTGGTCACACTTGCAAGCTGCACATATCTGTACAAGGATGACAACGGTCCAAAAACATTAAGGTTTTATACAAAATTAGATTTTCTATACAAAAATCCCGGCGACATCGGGAGTGTGGTGCGGTAGGTCTGTCAATGACGACTGTGCACATGCGTGGTTTGTTTGCAGTGTTTCTACACTGAACGCTTTGAGATGGAGAGGGGCTCACCGCTGAGCCACTGCTCACTGAGTTGGAAACACCCAGGCTCACCAAACATCAGATGGTGTGTCAGTATTTGCCATGTGGTAGAAAAGCAACATATCAGTTATACAAGACACATTAAAAAAACGGTCATCATAATTTTTCATTTTGAAAGGCATACACCAGTCCTTGACCCCCTTCCTCCTAGCATATGGTTTGTATGCTTGTGAAAATGTTGAAAACTTTCACTCACCCCTTACTGAAAATTCATTATGGCAGAGAACGAGACAAATGTGTTAACTGGAACAGAGTCTTAAACTGTACTGAGCTTAAGGTTGAAATGAGTTATAGTATATAACTAGTAATATTTGCCCTGACATTTAATTTCTGCTGCTGACTGCTGGTACTAGGAGTCTTTAAGAACTGCGCATAAGGACTGAACCTGCCCAGAACCCTGAAAGACAAACACACTAACGCAACCATGAAGTATGAAAAAAGTCGTATTTATTCCTCAGTCCATCAGCACACCTATGGTTCAACGGCTCCTTATTGAATCGTTGCAGCATAATGTCATTTGTAAAACTATAATTTGTGTGTTTGTTTTGGTAGCTTCTCTATATTGTACACGCTTCCATCCAAGTTGGGCAAATACTTGCTGCACACTAGTGTGACACAAAAGAGGATTTACAAGTGCGCATATTCACTGTGTCCAAAAAAAAAGAAGGTATATCTTCACTCATCACTACAACATTGTACTGGTGTTAGTTATCCGTGTCCAACACTGACACACGGTATGTCAATGGAAACTTTGTTCATTTGTCCAAATGTTTAACGTTGTGAGGAAGCCGGAGTTAAGGAAGCAGGGTGGAGCAACTGGTAGAGCTGCTGCTTCTCAGCGAGAAGATTGCTGGTTCAAATCCCAGTCCGGAGGGCCTTCCTGGGTGCAGTTTGCATGTTCTCTCCGTGCATGTGTGGGTTTTCTCCGGGTACTTCGGTTTCCTCCCACAGAACAAAAATATGCACGTTAGGCTGATTGGTAATCCTAATTGTCTCTAAGTTTGAGTGAGAGAGTGAATGATTGTTTGTCTCGTTTGTCTCTATGTGTCCCTGTGATGGACTGGAGACCCGTCCAGGGTGTACCCCGCCCCTCGCATAGTGATTGCTGGACATGGGCACCAGCGACCCCCGTGACCCAAAATGGAAGAAGTGAGTAAAAGATAATGGATGGATTTCAGTTCAGTATTATACTACGATTAGTACTGAAATAAAATGTTAATAAAATGTATGTATTGCTGTGTGCCTGAACATGGTGGAGTTACCCTATGGTGCGACTCACAAATTTAGCTTATTTCTTGTGTTGTTACATTTGTTTGTTTAGGTTTCCCATGTTTTAACATATCTTAGTTCTATCTCTACAATAATATATCATTAAAATATACTACAGCCGTTAAGCCTCTTTTCTTTTCATTCAACCTTTTATTTATACAGGTTCACGAGGACTCATTTTCAAGACAGACCTGTTTTAGACAGACAACATAGAGTACAAACAATACTCGACAATTAAAAGCAATTAAAAAATAAAAACTAGCGTTTTAATAACAATCAAATCAAATTGCCACATAAAACAAAGTAAAATACTAAAAATAAGAACATATTTGCTTAGATTTTTCTACTGACCTAATCAAATGTTTAAAGCCCCTTTAAGAAATGAAGGTGGACAACTTCAGATCTTATTACAAAGTGTTCCAAGTTACAAGAGCAGAGTAAGAAAATGCCTGTTTGCAGAGTTCAGTCAGCACTGAGGGAACGCTGCAGGTAATGATGTCTTGAGAGTGCACGCTGTAACTGCACTGACGACGTGACATATGGGAGGAGATATACGAAGGTAGCAGACCAAGGAGTGATTTGTAGATGAAAACGAACCAGAGATCCATGACCTACTGACCAATGGGTACAGAGTACTGTACTCATATTAATCTTACCATGAAATATTTTATTTTAGCTATAATTATTAGGATAATGTTATTTACAAACAAAACTATGGAAATTTGGACATCTTGTTGGTGATAGCATGCAACTCAATTTTCACTAAACTTGCCCAACAATTTTGTAGGGTACATTATGACAACAACAACAAAAAAAAGTAATGAGTCAGAGAGTCAGAGTTTCTTTATTGTCATTCGCACCTCATGTGGTACATGTGGTGGAGCGAAATTATGTACGCAGGGTCCCAGTTACATCCAACAATAAAATGCACAAGAAAAACAGCAATAACATCTAAGATATGAACCAAGAAAAACATCAACTAAACATACACTAAGCACCCATAACATAAAACATTGAACATCAGCACAAACATGAACACGAGTCCGCGAGCAGATGTGCACGCATGAACACATCAACACTGAAACAGATCAGCAGCAACACGAAACAGATCAGCAGCAACACGATATGGTTTTTCACAGTGACCATTCTAGCCAGAGATTAATGAGTCCAACAGCCTCAGGGTAGAAGCTGTTCCTCAGTCCAGTGGCTCCACACCCAATGCCCCTCAACCTCCCTCCTGAGGGGAGCGGGGCAAAAAGTGAGTGTGCTGGGTGGGTGGGGTCCTTCATGATGCAGGTGGCCCTCTTCCTGCATCTGGAGGTGTAGATGTCTGTGATGGTGGGGAGACTGATTCCAACAGATTTCTGTGCAGCCTTCACCACTCTCTGCAAAGCTTTTCTTTCTGCAGCTGTGCAGCCTCCATGCCACACATTGATGCTCGAGCACAGGATGCTCTCCACTGCACACCTGTAGAAGGAGGTGAGGACTGAGCTTCCCAGACCAGCTCGCCTCAGCCGTCTGAGGAAGTAGAGTCTCTGATGAGCTTTCCTGATCAGGCTGGCGGTGTTGCCGCTCCAGCCGAGGCCGTCATTCATGTGCACACCCAAGTACCTGTAGCTGGAGACCACCTCCACCGCAGATCCTCCCATGCTCAGGGGGGTGTAGGTGTTTTTGTTCCTTCTGAAGTCCACAATCATCTCCTTTGTCCTCTTCACATTGATGTGAAGGTTATTCTCTCTGCACCAGCTCTCCAGGTGCTCCACCTCTTGCCTGCAGCTGGACCCATCATTGTTCGTGATGCATCCCACCACCGCTGCATCATCTGCAAACTTTACAATGTGACAGCCTGGATGGGCAGCCGCACAATCATATGTGAGCAGAGTAAACAGAAGGGGGCTCAACACACA